AAACAGATAGCGAAGGGTTCAAAAGAACAGGCAGAGTTCGAAAGATAGCCTTTTAAGGAAGATGGTGGGAAAATAAATAAGAAATGTGCGGATAAATCAATCTGACAAACTTAAGACAAATACTGAAGAATATTGGAGATGAGAATATATGGGGAAGTTCCGTCACATGTAACAAGGCAGGTTCTATGGTGTAGCGGTAGCACACAGGATTTTGATTCCTGGAACCCGAGTTCAATCCTCGGTAGGACCTTATATTTTTCTTATTTTTGAAAAATACATGGTCATGTCATATACCAATCCACAGTTCGGCAATAGGTCTTTAGACATTAAGATTGCCGATGGAATAATGGCCGAAATGTAGCCTTTTATCTTTGACCGCGCTGGACCTTGGGAAACCCCTTGCTCACTTTACTTTTTGCAAAACCAACCTTGTTATACATTTACATAGTTTTCATGATTTACCCGTTCTACTTAAGAAGTGGACGTATCAAACGATGATAAGTTAAATATAAGAAGAACATCTACACCTTGATGTGGGTTGACCGCATCTTGAAGGCTCCTCTAAGTCAAAGGTACTGGTGCTGATTTAGAGCATCAAAGAGATAGAAGATGATCTGCAATCCGTTTGTAGGAGCTATGTCTTCGAAGCAGCTCTCCTCCAATACCTCTCACTTTATCTGTCAGCGCATTGCGCTTGTTATTGGGATTCCTTCTCTTTCCTCTGCCGTTGCATTGGCGATTTACCCTCGCGGAACTAACCGCAGCTTCTTCCTCTCCGACCACCATTCGGGAGGTTGCTATCTTTTTGACATCGTGGTGCGAACCTCCGATCTCCGGCTTTTTGACTGCCCAGCGTGTCAGGCTCGCTTCATCCGTCATCACGTCCATGGTTGCGATAGCAGTTCCTGGTACGTTGTTGCTCAGAATTTGAGATACCTGGTTCGCTGACCGTGCTGAGTACCCAGCTGAGTTTCCTCACCCCTTTTTGGATTCTCTACTCAACTCTGTCTTCTTTGAGATTTTCCGCGTCGCCGTTCAATCCTTTCTTTCAAGTTTGTTTACTTGGTCTTTCTTCTGCCTCCAAGTTCTTGTCTCGCTGATGTTTACTTTTTCAAAATCATACAAACATCGTTAACCTTGTCGCTAAGGTAAATGAGAGGGAAAGGCCAGGGGATAACATAATAAGCTCCGCAATGAGAGGTACAGTGGGTGATATGCCCTCTGTTAGGAAAAGGTTGAAGTTCAAGCACAAAAGTTGAAATTCATTGTGATGTGAAGGTGGTTAGAGGTGTGATTGGCCCTCACTGAGAACAATGAGTGCATGCGCTCACAGGCGTTCGATGTTTTTGGACCATTTAGTCCCTCTCTGTCTCCGCGATAATTAAAGAGAAAGCGAAAAGACTTTTTTTACAAAGCAAGAGAGAGAGAGAGCATCAGAGCGGAAGTAGAGTGCCATCATGGCTTACAACCACCATGTCCCCAAGATCACTTTGGTTTTTGTGGGTTTCCCGTCAGCCAACCAGGGTCCCAGCGGTGCAGGCCCAGCCAGAACCGTGATGACGGATCTCCCAATAGTCGACCCTAGATCTCCTCGACCTCCCTCAATGCTTGATATCATTGCGAGGGTCAAGAAGGAACATTTTGCTAATGATCATTCGATTGATTTGTCGAGGGCTTCGGTTTACACTGGACCCCCAGAGTTTGCGCTGGTTCGACCATCGAATCCAGCGGGGATTTTGAGGGATGGGGATTTTTTGTTGGTGGTTTGCTCGGGGGGAAGCAAGGGAATTGAGAGTGGTAAGTGTACTTTGTGATTGTATTTGTTTTCTCTGTCAGAGTTGAAGCTTGCTGTGTGAGATATGGGCTGATTGAAATGGCCGACTCTCTTGGTTATTAAACACAGCCACTTCCGCCAATGGAACCCGCCGAAACCATCCACCTCCTATTCAAACCCGTGAACTCACCCCTCAAGAAGTCGCCTACGACCCCATGTCCCCATGGGACCAATCCCCGCAACAGCACTACCGTTATGCATCCTCTCCGATTCCTCAATCCTACCCGTCCCCAGTCTCTCCATACCAAGAAATTTCTTTATCCCCAACATTAGTCGATCCTCTTTACACAGACGGTTATGAGGCTCAACAAGTCCACACCCGGTCTCTCAGCGCGTCGCCTCGGTATGGAGCTACCTCACCTCAACAGCAGGGTGGGGGAGGCGTGTGGGGATGGATGTCGAGATTGGGGGGAGGAGGAGGACAACAACAGCGTACTCAAAATCGGCCTAATGCAGGAACTAGCCCTCATCAAACTCATTTTGGAGTGCAGATGGAGAATGATGATTATGTTGATGCTAGGACCGAGTATGGGGCTCCAAGTGGGTATGGAAATGTTCCGACGGTAAATGTGTCACTTGCGAATCAGCATCGACGGGCTTCATCGAATCACCGAGATTCTTCTCCTACCCGAAAAACAAGCCACTCTGCCCCGCCTACGGATCATGGAGGGAAAGAGGATAAGGCGAAGAAGCATACTTACCATGTTTTTCATCATCACATATATGAGGATGGTGGAGGAAGGAAGGATGATGGACACGGGCATGCTGGAGGTGGCAAGCACCATAAAAGTAGTGGATCCGATGATGAATTTGGGGGGGGGCACAGGCATGATAAGAAACGAGAGCAGGATGGTAAGAAGGGTTCTCATGGGGGAGGCGGATTTGATTCCTTTGATGGCGAGCATGGGGGTGGAAAGCATGGTAATTTTAGTGGATACGGAAAGCATGGCGAAAGTCATGGTGAAGGCAAACACAAGGACGGCTTTGGCGCTGGAAAGCACCATGACAGTGGGAAACTAGGTGACAGTCACGGTGGAGGCAGGCATGACGGTGGAAAACACGCCGACAGCTTTGAAGGATCCAAACACAATGACAGTCATGGTAGTGGCAAGCACAATGACAATCTCGGTCATGGAAGACATGGTGACAGTCATGGCTTTGGTGGCAGTTCAAAACCCAGCGACAAGGCCAAACCCGCATCTTCTCCATCCAAACAGGACCACTCGGGAGGGTCAAGTCCTAAACGCCCTTCTCGGTTCTCTGATAGCGAGGAAGAGGACTTCGGGAAGCACGGGAAGGGAGGCAAGAAGGAAGAATGGGGTGGCGGTGGTAGTCATAGTGGGAAGAAGGATGAGTGGGGTGGTGGCGGCCATAGTGGAAAGAAAGATGAATGGGGCCAAGGAGGTAGCGGGGGAAAGAAAAGCGGCAGCGATCCATGGGGTGATACCCAAAAAGGTAGCGACTCGAAGAAAAGCACTGACCCATGGGACAATACGAAGAAAGGAAGCGACTCAAAGAAAGGCAACGATTCATCGGGAGATTCGAAGAAAAGCGGTGACTCAAAGAAAGGGAACGATACATGGGGAGATTCTAAGAAAAGCGGCGACTCTAAGAAAGGCGGTGATCCATGGGAAGATACGAAGAAAGGAGGCGACTCAAAGAAAAGCAATGATCCGTGGGGAAACCATAACGATAAAGACGACAAACCCAAGAAGGGAGGCGGAGCTGACGAGTGGGGATTCGGCGCTAAACCCAACAGCAGCTCACATACCAAAAAACCTAACCATGATCACGACGATTTCGGTAAAACACCCACCAAGAATGACTCATTTGGCGGATCGAAAAAGGATGAGGGAAGCAAATCTGGCAAAAAGAGTGGGTCTCCTACAAGTGGAAAGGGTGGAAAAGATGATTTCCATGGTGGAGGTGGTAGTGGAAAAGCGAAAAAGGACGATTGGGAGGATTTTGACGCCTTTGCTCAACCTTCTAAAACTGGTGCTGCTGCTAAGAAGCATGGAGCCGCGGGATCTCCCTCCAAAATTGCGACCAAAAAACATGGCACAAGATCGGCTGGATATGGGTTTGATATGTCGGATGATGAGGATAACCATGGTGGTGGCGGGAGGTCTGATCGGTCTGATGATGATCGACGTGAAAAAAGGTACCATGGGGGTGGCCACAAACTTTCTGCGCAAAAAGATGGAAAATATGCCAGTATTGATGATGATGATTTTGGAGGAGGTGGAAGGAGGCGTGGAAGTGATGATGAGAGGGGTAGACGTAATGGCGGGAAGAATGAGTCGATGAAGAAGGGTCAATCATTCTATGGAAGCGACGACGAGCGTGATGGCAAGAACGGTCGTCATGATAATTATGATGGCAAGACTGTTCGTCATAATGATCAGAAACGGAAAGAGACCCCAAAGAAGCAACAGTTCTCGGATGATAGTGACGACGGTCGTGCGGGTAGTAAACATGGGGGTCGTAAAAACGATAACGGGCGACAGCCTGCTAAAAAACAATATGTAAGCGACGACGACGACCATAAGCCTTCCAAAAACACAGGGAAATCACCCACACGAAAAACCCACTCTGACGACGACGGCAACGACCACAGGCCCGCGAAAAATGGCGGTAAATCACCCACCCGAAAACCTCACTCTGATGACGACGACGATGACCGCCGTAACAACCGTAACAGAAAAAGCCCACCAACAACCTCACGCTCTCGATCCCCAGCCCGAAATGGAACAAACGAAAGAAACTCGGGTCGTAAGCCTGTTAGAAGGGCCGTGCTGATTGGGATCAATTATTTTGGAACAAAGGTCGAGCTTAAAGGTTGCATTAATGATGTCAAGTCTGTTCGACAGATGCTCATCTCGAAGCTTGGGTATGAGGATGGACCGGAGAGTATTAGGATCTTGACGGATGATGATAAGGATCCTAAGAAGATGCCAACTAGGAAGAATATTTTGGAGGCTATCAACTGGTTGAGAAAGGATGCACAGCCGAGGGATACATTGTATTTCCACTTTTCTGGTCATGGAAGTCAACAGGAGTCAAACGGTAAGTTGACCTCGAATATTTGTTGTAGCTATCCGGAAGGTTAATCATATATTCGTTCAACCCACAATCAGACTCGTATGAGAACCTTGACGAAACACTGGTTCCTGTGGACTATCTAACCGCTGGACAGATTGTCGACAATGTGAGCCCAGTCTTCTGCGTCAATTTTTTTTTTCAAAGCTCTTTCTGATATATTCAATGCTCCGTTGAATCTGATCCTTGATTTTCGTGGGATTTTCTTTGTTTTTCCCTCCATACTGCCGCTGAAAACATATCACGCAGGACTTGAACGATAAGCTTGTCCGCGGTCTTCCCAAGGGTCTCCGTATGACTTGCGTCTTTGACTGTTG